CGATGTCATGATTGATTGGACGTTAGTTGCTTGGGTTAGGTAAAGTGAATTATTTATTCTTGAATTCTCCTCTTGCGAAAAACGTGGATGTTACGCAATACCACGGCTCATTAATTTTTCTAATTACCTACCAACTAATATGGTTAAGTTTATATTAACGTACACTTAGAAACATACCGAAACACTTTTAATTAGATATAAGTTACAAGTTAAAAATGCTAAACGGAAACGGGTCATTTTTCTTTTCTTTTGCTAAAGCAATCGACAACCAGAAATTAAGGTAATGGGCACCTTGAATTCCGTAATTATACCCAAACCTACATGGTATCGACGAGTAAAATTTATCATTTACGAGCAGGGGCGCACTCTCAATTTCAAATGTGAAAGGGCTTATTTACAAATACAATACAATATTTTTGAAAGGAAAGTTAACTAAATTATTATATGTTTGTTGGGGTTATTCCCAATGGACAATATAGTTAATCCCAAGGGACACGATAGTATTATCAAGAAACCGAACCTAACTCATTAATTCGTATCTTTCAATTATTATATCGTTTATTAAATTAATGATTTTTCCTTGGAATTGTTCTTATTCAATGTTTTTTCTTTTTAATTTCTGTTCTATTTATTTTAAATCATTGTATCGTCAAAATTATCCGAATTAACTATATATTTTTCTAAAGCTACGGTATAACAGCAGTCAAAGTCAAAAATATCGTTCAAATCCATAACAGTTTCCCAGCATATACTACACGGTGGCTACTTCGTAAGAAAATCTACAACTTTTTCTAGAAATGTTAGAGAATTGTTATCAAATTCAACAATATGTTTTACTGCCGCTGTTATGAAGAAACTAGCAAAAAAAGTTAATTGGGATAATTTTGACGACAAACTATCTAAATTAAAAAAAATAATAAAATAGAAATTAAATTATTAATAGAAAAAACATTGAATAAGAATAATTCCAAAGTCAAATCTAAATATCCGATACAACAACTGAAATATAGGAATTAATAAATCAGGGACGTCTTCTGGGAAGTGCTTAAATTCAAACACTTCATAATTCATAGCAGGACGTATCTTCCATGTGTTTTTTTAAACTTAAAGGGTCAAAGAATAATTTTTCCATAATTCGATCGACCAAATAATATATTTACATCCAATCGCACAATATTTCTATCTAACGTTAGCCCTCGTGGCTCTACCCCATTCATACGCCACTGTATCCGCAGTCCAATGTTGAATTTTTAACCTCAATAATAAATCGGAACTCACATAAGTAAGTAGGTACCTACCTATCTATACATGTAACAAGTTACATGACTTGTCTCACTTCCAATTTAGACAAAACAGCGAATATGAAAGTGAAACATAATTGAAGCAGTCTACATGGCCGATAGACCGTAAAGTACAAATGATATTAATTATTGACCCATTTTCTAGATTATCTGTTTACTCGGCTTTGCAGCCATCGCTAGAGCTGGTCTCTTGGCCGCGCCACTTCTTCATGCAGCCCCAGCAGTCGATTATTACGTAAGTAATTATACTTTTTGCACCAAGTATTATAATGCCGACAAACGGAACGTTTTAAGGCGAGCAAACAAAAACATTTTCGAACGGAAGACGAACACGAATTAAAAGCACATCGTCCGACGCTTATCTAAGGTTTAATAGTCACTTTCTTTACTGCTTTATTATTAATCTACACTAAAAAAATCTATTATGTGAAGTATTAGTAAAACCATTATCTGATTCTTAATATGAAGTAATTACACTGTAAAGTTTGGTTTTCATATAAAATTCTTTATAACAAAGTCGGATATAATGACTTCGGTTATAGTGACATGTTGCTGATTATATCCTATTTTTAAGAAATTATGTCCGGTTGTAGTGACCGGCACGATTGCCCTACCCTTTCTTTGCGGCGACGTTTGGCGTGTGCGTGGCATAGCAATGTCTTCTTTATATAACAGTGTTATTGAAAGGAAAAACAAAAGCAGACAAAATATATTGATTTCTTATGCAAAAAATGGGAACTACAACTACTACAATTTCTAATTTTATCCATACAATTCGGTTAAAATGAAATCAAGATGTTGGTAAAATGGGATTAGATTTGCAAAAACTTTACACGCATTGACAACATAAAATTTTTGGTATTTTTATTTCATTCACCACAACCGTTATTATTAATCTTCACTTCCTTCCTTAATCAACAGCTTAGATTCTTTTTTCTTCTGGATTTTTGTTTTCATTTAATTTTAATTAACGAGTTGTATTCTACCAATCAATGAAAATTTATATTATTGAAACTTCATACTTTAAATTTAAATTTTTTACTATATATAAGAGAACTTCGTTCCATGTTTCACATTTACGTTGACAAAATAAACTGTAGGTACTTTCACCACCATTAAGTTTATTTACAAGGTCTAGGTGATGTCTGTAGATTCGACAATTGATCTCTTTAGATGATAATATTTAATCACACGCTAATCTTACAACAATTTCGAGTGATATACGAGGGTGGATTGATAAGTTTCCGGCCTGACCAAGAAAAACAAGGTTTTTAAAAATTTTTTTTTTTTATTTCTCAACATAATCTCCTCCAAGGCTGATACATTTCTCATAGCGGTGTTCCAGTCTATTAATGCCATCTCTATAGACTGATTCGTCAAGCTCCTCAAAATAACCATTTACAGCTTCGATTACTTCTTCATTGTCCGCAAATCTCT